TATGTGGAGGGAAGGGAAAGAGAGAAAGGAAATGAAGTCAGACCACGTATGCTCTCGGACCACGATGGGATTAAACTGGAAATCAATAACAGGAAGATGAATAGGAACACCTCCAGCTCATTTCTGAAGAATTCATAGGTCAAAGAGAAGCTCTCGAGGGAAATGAGAAAGTTTCTGAAACGAAAATACGAGCTGTCAACATTACAGGATACAGATAAAGCAGAGCGTAGATGAAAACTTATAGCAGAAAGTGTTTACATTAGAAAAAAAGAGAAAGATCCACCGCATAAGATTCCACCTTAGAGAAAATGAAGCAAAACACGCAGTTCCAGCCTAAAGCAAGCAGAAGAGAAGAAATAATAGAAATCAAAGCAGATATCAATGAAGTTGAAAACAGAAAATAATTAGAGAAACCAGCAAACCCCCAAACAGTGTTTTGTTTTTTAAGATGAAGAAAATTGATTGTAGAGGCAAGAGACTGGGATCGCCATCCCAGTACTGAAGGAAAAAACCAAAGCTGAAGACCTCACCTTACCCAATTTCAAGACTTACTCTAAAGCTACAGTAATCGGGACAGCAAGGCCATGGTGGAAGCGTAGACACCGAAATCCACGCAACAGAACAGTGCCCGGAAGTAGACTCACCAACGTAGTTGACTGGGTTTTTGACAAAGGAGCAAAAGCAACTCAACGGAGGAAGGACAATCCTTTCCACAAATGGTGCTGGAACAAGGGATTTCCTCAGGTTCCCTGTGGCCCTACTGGTGTTATTTCCAATTCTCCAGGAAGCAGGGGTCAAAACTGGATTCATTGGGAAAATACGGGGGCCAGCTGGTAGACCTGGCGGCAGGTCTCAGATCCAAGGAGGAGAGGGAGGGAGAAATGCACTAACCAAAAAGAGCTGATATTAATATCAAGCGTATGTGTTGCTGTTCCTTTTAATGACGCCGGTGAGAAACCAGACGAAAGTAAGGGAACAGTATTTTTATGCTCAGACCTGTCTATCATCTTGGATCGATCAAGGCAGGAGGGCCTTGCGAATAGGAGTGGAGCCCACCAAGAGGGGTACAGACATTTAAAACCGGTGGGAAATCTGTTCTATTTGGAAGGAACTGGTGGTCTGTATGTCTGCCTCATATGGCTACTGAAAATTACAGATGTACGGGGTTAGAAATGCCATCAGCACCCTGTAAACAGCATTGGTGTTGGTGCAGCACAGCAGACTTATGCAACATTGACCATGAAGCACCTCGCTTTAAAGAAATGGCTGGAGCCCTGGCTGGTTGGGCTCAGTGGATACAGCGTTGGCCTGTGGACTGAAGGGTCCTGTGTGCAATTCCGGTCAAGGGCACATGCCCGGATTGTGAGCTCGAACTCCAGGAGGGGGCGTGCAAGAGGCAGCCAATCAATGATTTCCTTTCATCATTGATGTTTCTATCTCTCTCTCCCTTTCCCTTCCTCTCTGAATTCAATAAAAATGTTTTGTTTTTTTTAAAAAAGAAACTATTGGGAATAATTTTGATACTAAAGGCCCCACCTGACCTTGGAAATATATCTTATGTATACGATTGTATTTACATTTTAGCATATAATTTACGAAGTATTTTAACATATATTGCTAGTTTTCTCCTGACAGGGTAATTGAGTGGCAGAAACATGATAAGAAATGAGTTATAAATTATTATTCCACAGACTTAACTAGCAGGAAGCCGTTCTGACAAATACCAGTATTTCATTCATTTTGGCTTTCAAGTTTCCTAATTGAATCCTACAGTTGCACAACAGACACGCAGTGTTCCATTTGTAAGGTGGCTTGAATTCCATTCTTGGCTCTGTGCTACCTCGCTCCCTGATACTGGGGAAGTGATTTAACAGAAGCAAACTTCCCTCCATTTCTTCATCTGCATAACGGACACTACGAATTAATTACCCCACCCAGTCCCCACAAGAATATTGTGAGAACCGGTAGGCTAAGTCCCCAAAGCCTTCCTATTCCACATCTTAGATATCGATACAATAAGCGCAGAAGAGCAACTCTTCATTTTTGTGACAATAGTGATTAGAAATATCACAGAGCTCTCTCTCCAGCAGGCGTGTAGCATGACTCATTCGAACCACATCGATGGCCATGGAAACCTGCACTGCACCGTGAGGTCAATGCCGAGATCAGGGGCTGGAAAAAGACAGTATCTGGCATTTGAAAAATGTACTTTCGGTGCTTGGATAAATGTCAGCTCCGCTAGCCCAGCACTATTTGCAAGATATTCCTGGCATGTTGCAAACTGCATAGCACTGCCACCCTGAGTGGAATACCTTTCTTCTAAGAGTGACGCGGAGCTCACGGCAAGAACCTTTGCACAAGTATTTGCAAGCTGATTTGACTCTTTGGAACCCTAACATTTCTGAGGACACAGATGCAGTTTGAAACATAAAGAAAGGGTGCTCCATTTTTGGTCCATATCTACAGAGACCATCTCCTATGACTTCTGAACATACAACAATGCCTTCAAGGAGATAGCACTGTTTGGTGAGCTAAGTCATCAGGTAACCTTGACATTCTTCTCCTATTTTCTTTTTAAATGCATTTTTATTGATTTTAGAGAGGAAGGGAGAGAGAGAGAGAGAAACATCAATGATGAGAGAGAATCATTGATGGGCTGCCTCCTGCACGCCCCACACTGGGGATCAAGCCCACAACCCCGGCATGTGCCCTGATCGGGAATCGGACCGTGACCTCCTGGTTCATGAGTCCACCCTTAACCACTGAGCCACACCTGCCGGATGAAAGTCGATGGGTTTTATCAAACTTTAAACAATGCAGCTACAGAAGAAGACCCCTTTGTACGAAGAAGTGCTGCCCCGAATGCTGACCACGTGGCCTGGAAGGGAAAGGGGTGAACTACAGCCTTCACCTTTGACCCTGGGAAACATCCCTCCTCGAGGCCCCCAAAGGCTGCGTCTTCGGGGGAAGGACTCGAAGGCATCAATGAAGAAATCCGAACGGGAGAATAACAAGCTTCAGCTTTGTTTGACTTTATCAGCTTTGGGAAGGGAATGATGTCATTGTTTGGGGGTTCTGCGAAGACATGGCACGTCCCCTCGGTGTTAATACCAGTCTGGAGCCTGCCTGGCCCGCCAGCACCGGCCCGATAAACACAGACCTGGAGTCTCTCTGTTCATCTCCGGACAGTTCCTCGGAACGATCCTGGAAAATATGCCTGTTCTGAACTAAACATTTCACTTTTCATCTTATCCATGTTCCAGAAGGCCATTCCTGGGATAAACACGTTACAGACGAACACTCTAAAAGCCACTGCCCATGATGAACTACGTGTGCATCCTTCAGGGTGGATTAGAGACTTTCCCTCCCGTGACAAATGAACAGTGACATACCCTGCGGAACCACTGGAACCGACATTCCGCTGTTTCTCTCCTTCATTGTGTCTTTATTTTGCACGAGAGAGAAAGTTTCCATTTCAACTCACTGGTTACGCAATCCTGGCTGGGGCTAAATACCACTCAAGCAATATCACACACAGGAATAGCATGTATTTTTAAAAATCTGCGACTTAAAATTCTTTTACCAATGTGCTTTCTTCCACCACTCTTTCTCGCCTTTTACTACGGGTTGTTTGAAATTGCCTCTGCTGGTATTAAAATTAAATAGAGAACGAATGTATTCACTTCAAAAATTAAAGTAAGATTGGTACTAGGATGCAGATTAAGTTAGCGAAGCAATTACCACAGAATTGATACGTTGGTGCCATTTCTTTTGGCTTCTGCTGTGATGTAGTAACAGCCAAGGCTTTTAAAGGAGGCAGCCAATCAATGATTCTCTCATCATCTCTCTCATCTATCCATCTCTTCCTCGCCCTTCCTTTCTCTGAAATCAATAAAAACATATTTTTTTAAAAAAAAGAAACTGGTCAAATTCTTTTACCAATTAGCTGAGCACAATATTTTATATCAACTCAACCACTACAAAATATGTGATATCCTATCTACAGGATCTGGCCAAATCAGTAATGGCAAAGAACCTCTTTCACCTACATTTTCTCACAAATGTAATCAGATTTCTTCAGAGAGAGTGATGGGTTAATTTCATGTGTTAACGTGGGTGGCGATGGTAACCAGGGTGGGGTCAAACACCAGGGTAGATGCTGTTGTGAAGGTGTTTTTTACATGTGATGAGCATGGGTATCGGTAGGGTTTGAGAAGAGCAGATCACACTTCATAATGTTGGTGAGTCTCATCCAATCAATTGACAGCCTTCAGAATAAAACAACTGTGGTTCCACAGTACGAAGGGATTGTCTCGAGAATGCTTTCAGACTCAAGATTATAACATCAACTCCTGCCATAATCTCCAACCTACCATGAGCCAATTCCTTAGCATCTCTCTCCCTGCCACCCGCCCCCCGTGTGCATACACAACACACACACACACATACATACACATATACATTTTATTGGTTCTTTTTTTTGGTGAACCCCAACTAATACAGGGAGAAAAAAGAAGAGGAGAAAATGGAGGCAGAGCAGGGAGATTTCTGAGATCCTTCTCTATGCTCCCCATGATTGCCAATCTCCCTTCTGGAAGTTGGCGGGTACACACGTGAAAACCCGGGCTTTCTAACTGGCCTCCACTTTTGAATGTGGAAACGCAATAGTTCCCGATCACCAAACACTTCGCCCTTTTTTCTTGGAACAGATTCCTGCTACCTTCCTTTCTCCTGTATTTCCAAACCCTCTTCAGAAGTGAAGGGGCTACTCTATTCACAATAAATTGGTACGTAACAGGATTATACATCATCCAGACTCACAAATATAAAATTCCAGAATTCAATGTGAGATTAAAGTGCACTGTTACATCACCTTCTTTCCCTCCTCTGCTTGAAAATAAAAATGGAGCTACTGACTGGTTCCTTGAGATAAAACATACTAAGGATTTTATAAGCATATTCTGAAAAGAAATATTACAGAAAAGTACTTAATTTCTCACCATTTATGAGTCTCTGTTAGTGAATTCTCCTCTGCCTCTTGGTCAATTTTAGCTGAAAATACAAAAAAAGAAAAAGATAAGTGACAAATAGTTACACTCGCTCAAGCAAGTATGACCCAAATAATATAAAATATATTATAATTCATTATTATTAATGCAAATATGTTCATCAGAAGTTTGTTTTAAATCTATAAACAGATATAATTGAATAGATTATATTTAATTTTCATTAAATTAATACTATTAGATTGATACAGATAAAATATATTATATAACCAATTAAAATTTTTAGATTCTAAGTAATTTCCTTAAATCTGTCACATGAATCTGAGAAAGCAAAACACTAGCTAGCTTCATATGCATGTCTATTGTGTTTGTCGAATATTAAATACCAATAATTAGTTGAAAATAATTATTTCAAGCAAAGGTACAAAAACCAAGTCAAAAAACTAAAGAGAAAGAGTATGGGACCTTCTCCCTAAGTGTTCTCCACACAGATGGACAGGTACCGAGATTATTTCTACAAAGGAACAAGATAAGACATGAGCATTCCCCATTCATTGAAAGTGGGGAGGTGATTATGGACCCATTTATTTGCTACTATTTTTATTTAAAAAGAAAGAATGATAGCCAGACATAAACCCAAGGGTCAAATTTGGAAAAGAGATTACATCACTATTTTCAAATTATCCTCTATAATAAAAGCCTAATATGCAAATCAACCAAACAGCGAAATGACCGGTGGAACAACCAGTTGCTATGACGTGCACTGACCACCAGGGGACAGATGCTCAACACAGGAGCTGCCCCCAGCCCTCAGGCCTCAGGCCAACAAGGAGGGTGCCAGCAGGGGGCCCCCAATTGCCCCGCCGGTCGCCCCACAGATCGAACCTGATCGCCAGCCAGGCCTAGGAACTCTACCCGTGCACAAATTTCGTGCACTGAGCCTCTAGTTTAAAATAACATCGAACTCCCTCACATAAAGTTAAGTATGGCAGTGACTTTCGCCTTTTTGATCAGTAGCATTCTAGGAATTTACCTAGTGCTTCTATACTATACACACACACATACACATAAAGATTTTTGACACAAAAGTGTTAAAAATACTATTTCCTGTAATATTTGTAGTCTATTCTATTCGATTTTAAAATGTTAATTGTGACCCCCTACATTAATTTCATGCTTCACTAATGGTTTGTGACACATTTTGAAAATCAGTTGAGCTATAGAACAAAAAGTTTAAAAATAATAATAATAATTAAAGCCTGGACTAGTGAAAGCAGACATGGTCTCTTTTTTTAAATCTTTATTGTCGAAAGTATTACATATGCCCCTCCCTTCCTCCCCCCACTGACCTCCTCTAGCCCACCCCCACCCCCACCCCAGGCCTTCACCACCCCACTGTCTGTGTCCCTGGGTTACGCACATACGCATACAAGTTCCCTGGTTTGTAAGCATGCTCTCTGGGTCACACTCCTGGCCATTTGGAGAAACTAGAAGCCAAAGTGGGACAGAGCAAGTTAATTACAAAGAATTGGAGCTGCGCACAAGATCCAATCCATGCCACTGGGGAATGGCCAAAGCGTCTCTATCGCTGCCTTACACACAACAGTCCAACTTGGGCTGGTTAATGTTTTACAACCTCAAGACGGTGTTTGCTCGAAGTCTGCTCAGTATCTGCAGAGCCGCAGTCCAGTGTCCTGCGGCCACTCTCAGCCAGGATTCTAAGAATTTAGAAGGGGCCGGTTGAGCTGGCAGCTGAGGGGTTCCCCACCCCCCACCTTTTCCCTTTTTGTGCTGTAGACTGTTTACATGCACTTACGGGGAAGTCATTAGCCATTCTGAACAACAGAATAAATGTTCCACCGTTTTACTTTGAAAAGACTCTCCAACACAAACAGATTGTCTTATAGGCTCTGATCTGGGCTGCCTTGCATTCAAATGCTTTGCTTCCAGGAGCAATTCTAGAAGCACAGACAGTTGGCTCAAGGGAAAACCAAGCCCCACGTAGCTCAGTGGTTGTCGACCTATGAACCAGGAGGTCATGGTTCAACTCCCAGTGAGGGCACATGCCCGGGTTGTGGACTCGATCCCCAGTGGGGGGCGTGCAGGAGGCAGCCTATCAATAATTCTCTCTCATCATTGATGTTTCTCTCTCTCTCTCCCTCTCCCTTCCCCTCTAAAATCAATAAAAATAGATTTAGAAAAGGAAAGAAAGGAAGGAAGGAAAGAAGGAAGAAAGATGGCAAAAGAAATTCAGATATTCATTCCCTGCCTGGACATGTATAAAGGACTTAAAATTCACTTGAGTTCAAGTTCACTGTCCAAAGAAGCCGTGCGTCAAAACCCTCAAAAGCCGAAGCAATAAATCTGCAATCGAATGACAACTTTCAATGACTCAGAAGAAAGGCGTTGCCTTTGTCTAAAAAAATAACCCATACTGGCTGCACTTAAAAGCAACCGAAATGCACACTCATAGATAATTATAAACAAAAACTAGTTAACACTTTAAATAAAAAGATTTAGGGCTCCGACAAGCAGATGAAAGGGTTCTTGACTTGCCTTCCATCTGATATTAGTCAAAATCAACTCTGTCTCCAATTACCTGGGAATATGTGGTCCTCCCTCATGCAAGGGCGCCCGTCCGTTGGGGCCTCTCCTTACTCACAGTCCTTTGGACCAAGTTCAGCAGAAATATTTAACATTGCAGAAGAGGCTGGAGCCAGACAAGCGACTGCAGGCGCTCATCACTGCCTCAAAATAGTAACTTAGTAGGACAGCAACCAACAGAAAATATTTGTGGGGGCAGAGGTTTGGGGGAGGGGACGGATGACTGCTATTAGAGAAGACATGCTACATGCCCCAAAGTGCTGAAACAGAATCATGAAAACACTATTGTTAACCAGTTGCCCATTCAGGGGCATTGGATTGTCCATGCCAAAAGTCTCCTGTAGAATTGGGCCTGAAAGGTAATCGTATGCCCTAGCCTTAAAATAGATAAATAGACGGAAACAAAAAGTAATCAAAGAAATAAAGGTTGATTCCTGGAAGGGTCAATGATGAGAGGGAGTCATGGATCGGCTGATGAACAAAAGAGATCCAGAGGCAGAGAAGCATGGAACAGACTTTTGAATCTCAGAGGGAGGGCACGGGTGGGTGGGTGGGAAGAGATTAACCGCAGGACTTAATATGCAAAACCCATGGACGCAGACAATAGATTGGTGTAGGCCTGGGGCAGGGGTGAGTGCGGGCTAGAAGGGGTCAGTGAGGGGGAAAAGGGGCGTCTGCAATACTTTCAACAACAAAGATACATTTTTTAAGAAGAGGCATCAAGAACAAGGCCGATATTGCTTTTGATCCTGAAGCTCAACATTAAGGAATGTATGTATTGTACAAGTGTGTACTACGAGAGATGTACGCATTTATTCTCTTAATCTTTTTGTCTTCAAAGCAATGCTGTAGGAAAGAAGATTTATGAGCAAAGAAATAAGTTCATTTTCCTGCTTTTCTCCAATGGAATACTACGAAACCATTAAGAAGAATCTACTGATACAAAATGATCTTGAAGCTATTTTAATTGAAAAAAAAGAATAATACCCAAGTGAGGCCTCTATTTTCAACCATACTAGGAACTCGACATCAAAAAGTTTTACAACAAAGTGCATGAAGGTATTGGATTAAAATAAAATGTAACGCATGGCTGAGCTGGCTGGAAAAGAAAGAAAATCCTCTGAAGCAGTCAAAACAACCAGGAGCAAGACTTCAAAAGGTGTTAGCACTGCCTTGGGCGCACCCTTCCACCCAGCAACCCAAGACTGTCCTTGGACAGGCCACGCAGGAAGATGGGAACAGGCCTGGAGTCCTCCACAGCGCCCGGAAGAGACACGCCCTCGGGGTAGAGAAAACAGAAAGCCACCCCCACGCCCCCACGAGAAGAGACACTGAGGAATGTGTCCTTCTCCGCGTGGCCCTGCGTGGGCCATCACACTGCCCGGAGCCTCCATCCACAATGAGGGGGACCCTAACTCATTTTAAAACAGTTCTCGGTTGGCAGTGCCGTCTGATGTTGAGCCCAAACAAATAATAGAAATAGAAATAGAAGGGAAAAAAATAAAAAACAGAAACAGCCTGCAAATAAATTTAGTTTAGAAATAAAATGGAACCGGAGAAGAGCTGCCCAGGCCGTGAAGGGAGGTTAAGAGTCTACGGCATCCCGAATGCGGGAAGGAATGGGATAGCAACCCAGAGTTTTATCATCAGCAAACCTTTCTCCCCAAAGCAGGACTGATGGAGATTTCCACACAGACAAGGAAAAAAAAAAGAGGGTTTTCAATCCACAGATTCACACCAGGGAACTTCTGAAGACTGAACTTCAGAAAGAAGAAAAACCACCTCAGAAGGAAGGCATAACATACTAGTACAGGAATGGTGAGCAGAGAAGATGGTACTGGTTATAAAAAACAAGTGAACACGAAAACATTGGCAAAGAATGGCGTATGGCATCAATAAGTAAGGTTAGAGATAAACATGTAGGTATATTGTGAATTCATACACTTTTGGTATATTGTGAATTCTTTAACAACACATGGTACTAAACAACTAAAACAATATTATCTGTTTGAAAAAAAAGTTATTTTTGCAGACTGTACATAGACATCAAATATGTACATACATAAAAATCAGATAGATTGAAGAATTAAATGCAAAACCGAGACATTTTTACAGGAAAATACAGGGTACTGTCTTTATAAACACACAGCAGGAAAAGATGTACTCAATAAGGCAAATATTAATACCATTAAGAAAAAGTCTGATGAGATTTGCTGTTTGGAAATACAGAACTTCTGCTTATCAACTGCCACTGTAAGAAAGATGTAAAGACAAGGTCCAAAGAGAGAGAAGTGTTTGTAACAATTTAAAGAACTCCTAATTATTCAGTAAGTAAAAGGCAAACCAACAGAAAACAGTCAAAAGACTCAACAGGTGGTCCATAGAACAGACTTTAGACATATGAAAATCCACCAGTTCTAATCAATAATCAGAAAAATGCAC